AAAAAATTTAATTGGATACATGTGTATGGGTTTGCTTGGTGTGTGTGACATGTGTTTAAAAAGAAAAACGGAACAGAAAAAGAAATAAAATAAAAGAAAAGAAAAAAGAAAGAAAAAAGAAAAGAAAAGAAAAGAAAAGAAGAGGACGAGACAATGAAGGAGAAAGAACATGGAGAGCGGCAAAGTTGGGTAAATACAACTTATTTTCCTTGGAGATGTAGAAAGAAATAGAAGTTGGTTAGGGTTTTGTAGCTTGTTCTGTTGTGTTCAAGAAATCACTTTGAAACTTAAAAGAAGTAGTTTTTCGTTCACTAATAAAAGATTAAGCAGAAAAGAGAGTGGTTCTCGGTTGGTTTCTTTCTCTTTAAATCCTTGGTTTTGTGGGTGTTAGTAATGCTAATTAAGAAATTTCAAGGGAGGAAAGAAGAATTTAATCTGTTTTAATGATGTGGAATAGAGAATGGTTAGAGTAAATTTGTGGTTTGTTTGAAAAGTTTTGGAGTGTTTGTGTTGGTTAAGAAAAATGGTAGAGATGTGAAATGTGACGGAGAAAGAAGAGCCCTTGAAGAAGAAAGAAGGAGAAGGTGATAAGGTTTGTCGATGGAAGAGAGAGAATAGAATTGTTGTTTAAAATTAAATAAGAAAGAAAAGTTAATTGTTGGTATTTTGTGCTTTCACGTGAGACGTTGAAGGGAAGAGAAATTGAATAGCTTTTAAGATATCTATTATAGAACTTCAAGAAAATACATATATTATGTATGTTTGATCATTTCTGTTGAGAATTTATGAATGTTTATGAGAATTTATAAAATAACCCTGGTTGTTTGAGATTTTAAGAGATGTTTAGAATTTGGAGAAATGTTTTGTGATTTAGAAAAATGTGTCAAGCTTTAGAATTGTTTGCTTTAGAATGAAACAAACTGGATTGAATATGAGAATTTATAAATACTTTATGATTCCATAGAAATGTAATGATGTTAGAAAGAATGATTTTAAAAATGTTTTAGGAATAATTGTATTCGATAAGAATTAGAAATGTTTTATATTTTAGATAATTGTACAAAGTTTTTAGAAAGAAAGATTTCAGAAAGAATTTAAGAAACTTTTATGAAATTTTATTTAGAAGGAGAGATTTCATAAATTTTTTGAAATTTTTATAAAATCAAGATTTTAGAAATAATTTGAGAAATAGAATTTTATGAGATGTTCTTAGAAAGAAAAGATTTGAGAAAATTAGAAAGAAATATTTTAGAATTGGTTTGGAAAAGAAAAGTTATTAGAAAGAAGAAAAGAAGAGTTATAGAACTGTTTATGAGATCGAGAATTTTATGCATAAATAAGTTTTCAAACTACCATATTATTGTATCTAGGTGATTAACCTTATGCTATAAAAATGTGTTTCTATAATATACCCAGAAATAGAAGATCTATGGAACCATTTTACTCCACCCGTTGAGAGAAATATTCTACTGTGTATATTGAGATTACTCTATGCCTGTGGACAAGGAATAAAATTATTTTGTTGTGCATATAGAGATTACTCTACGCTAGTAGACCAGAATAAAATGTTGATACATATGTGGTGTTGAGTTTTCTTAACTTGTTTTAGGTTTGAAAGAAGGTATTTGATATGTGTTTAGAAAGTCTTTTTAGAAAGTGCATGTTGTTACAAGTTTATCATGCGAAAAGTTACTGAGTTTTTAGTGGCCCAAATTTTGCGAAATTTAAATGATAAGGTTTATTATTTTGAAGTTTGTTGGTAGAGCTTCGAAACTTCGTTTTATATGGATAAGAGTTTTACAATATTATTTTCGTACTAACTTACCACTCACTGAGCTTTCCAGCTCAATCTTTATCTTATGTTTTCCCCCCATGTTGTATCTGAGATTCAAAGAGTTAGTGGACCAGCTTCTGACACCTAAAGTGATTGAGAGATTGCATTTCATTTGTAAGTACATCTTGAGAATTGTATTTAGAAAGGGGGTAACAATGAATGTGATGTAAATCTTGGGGGTAAGTCACCCAAAGTCATGGTGTCAGAAAAAGTTGAGAATCCAACGCGCATAGAGCTCATCCAAATCACCATGAAAAAAAGCTGTTTTTACATTCATTTGTTCTATGAACAAATCTTCTTCTGCCACTATCGATACAACAGTCCTAATGGTAGTTAGTTTAACTACGGGAAAGAAAATCTCATTAAAGTCAATACCTTCTTTTTATTGAAAGTCTTTGACTACAAGTCTTGCTTTGTATCTTTTGCTGTCGTCCAACTCCTGTTTGATTCTATATACCCATTTATTCTGCAAAGCTTTCTTAGCTCTTGGTAACTCAACAATTTGTCATGTCTGATTGATCATTAGAGAATTCATTTCATCTTTCATGGCTAACTCCCACTTAACAGAGTCTTCCAGCTGAACCGCCTCTTCATAACATTCAGGTTCACCTCTGTCAGTCAGTAAAATGTAATTCAATGTATGGGAATACCTCTGTGGTGGTCTGATTGTTCTGCTAGATCTTCTAACTGTTGGTGGTGGTGTTCTCTAAACCTGATCAATTTCCACAACTGGTTCATTAGATTCCACAAGTTGTTCATCAAATCCCACAACTGTTTCTTCAGAAGTAATTGTATTCTGATCTTAAATCTCTATTGTTTTAGTCTCAACCTTAGGAGGACTTATATACTGAGTATTCTCTATGCTTCCATCTAACTCTTTCTTTCCTGAATCAACTTTATTTCTGTCTTTGTATAAGACTTTCTCATTGAAGATCACGTTCTTGCTTCTGATTATCTTCTTGTTTTGGTCATCCCAAAATCTGTAACCTATCTCAGCTCCACCATACCCAATAAAGAAACATTTCTTGGATTTGGCATCCAATTTACTCCTGTCTGCAGCATCAATGTGAAGGTAAGATACACAGTCAAAAACCATTAGATGGGAAAGGTTTACCTGTTTACCAGTCCAGACTTCTTCAGGCAATTTGAAGTCTAGTGATGTGGTCGGGCTCCTATTGATCAGATAGGTCACACAATTGATTGCCTCTGTCCAAAACATCTTAGGCAATCCTGCATGTATTTTCATGCTCCTAGCACGCTCATTCAGCGTCCTGTTCATTCTCTCTGCCACACCGTTTTATTGTGGCGTCTATGGAATAGTCTTTACCATCACAATTCCACTGTCTTCACAATATTTCTTGAATTCCCTACTAACATACTCACCACCATTATCTAACCTTAAGCTTTTGATTTTTAGGCCTGTCTTATTCTCTACCATGGCCTTCCATGATTTGAAAATAGAAAACACATCAGACTTATGTTTAATAAAATAAGTCCATATCTTCCTACTTGAGTCATCTATGAAAGTTACATAATATCTGGAACCTCTAATGGAAGAAACTTCAGAAGGCCCCCACACATCGGTGTGAACCAACTCCAATTTTGTAGACTTTGGCATTGAACCTGTCTTTGAGAAACTGACACGACTCTGTTTCCCAAATATGCATCCTTCACGTAACTTGTGTTCCACTGCCTTAAGTCCTTCTAGTTTCCTTGTAGAGTGAAGAATTTTCATACTTTTTTCACTCATATTGTCCCGGCCTACTGTGCCATAATTGGGTCTGACTTGAATGATCTACAATAGCTATCATATCTTTGTCGTTGTCGTTGACATACAAAGTTCCTAACTTTCTTCCTCGAGCGATCACCATGGAACCCTTTGTAACTTTTCAGTTTCCTTGACCGAAGGATATTTCACATCCTTCATTATCCAGCTGCCCCACGGAAATCAGGTTCTTCATCATATTCTGAGCGTGACGTGCCTTGTGAATCTTCCCGACTGAACCGTTCGCCATTTTTAAATTAACGTCACTAATCTCAATGATGTCCAAAGGCTCTCCATCAGCAAGATACACCTTTCCATGATTTCCTGCAACATGATTCTCAAGAATGTCACGTTGTCCTATTGTATGAAAAGACGCACCTGAATCCACCACCCATGTGTTATGAGCGCCCTCAACTGCAAGAACTAGAGCATCATGTATTTCTTCAGCAACAACATTTGCACCAGCTTCTTTCCCCTCAGTTTTCTTTGGGGCTTTGCAGTTCCTTTTCAGATGTCCTGTCTTACCACAATTCCAACATTATAGTCTGCTGTTTCTAGACTTGATTCTGTTGTTTTTTTGACTTTCCACGTTTTTCATAGTCTCTGTTATTATTTCTTCCTCTGTCTATATTAAATGATGTACCAAAAGTAGATGCAATACCAGAATCCTTTCTGCGAATCTCCTCTCCAAGAGCTGCATCTCTGACATCTGCAAATTTCAATTTCTCTTCTCCACAAGAATTTGAAATAGCTGCCTTCATAGGCTCCCAACTGTCAGGTAAGGATCTCAAGAACACGATAGCATTTAATTCATCTGTAAATGTTAAATCCACAGCAACTAATTTGTTAATCAACGTATCAAATTATTTATATGGGCAACCACAGATATACCTTCATCCATCTTCAAAGTAAAAAATTTAGTTGCGAGATACACCTTATTATTTACTGAAGGCTTCTCATATAGGTTGGACACTGCATTCATCAGGCCCATTGTTGTAGTCTCCTTAGCTACGCTGCTCTGCACATTTTTTGTTAATGTTAG